ATATTCTAGCATTGACCTTACAGCTTAAAGGCCTAACCTTCTACTCACTCCAGCAATGTAGTATGCTACATAATGTATTATTGATGCACATTCTGAATACAAAGGTTTGAGTGGACTCATGTATCATAGTATAATATCTCTATATTACAGTCTGCATGTATGTCGTAGAGCACAAACTATAATTCAGATGTAGCTTAGTACTAGTGATATGGTTAAGAATCACGCCAATGCAGTGGTCATTAAGAATCTGACCTTTTAACCTCCCTTTAAAAGGTGCCTCCACACAACACCGACATATCAGGCAGAACATATTAAGTAGGATTTGTCAGTAGAAACTCCACCACCATGTTTCCACAGAAACAAGTGATTGCCTATCCATTATTCACCTTCTATTGCCTGGCCTTTGACTTTGCAGCCTCATGAAACAATATTGGAAGTGGCCAGGGAATGGGATGTTCAAGTTAAGGTCTATTTGCCCCCCTCCCCATTTCTCAGTGTGATTACCATCTCCCAATGTAGTGAAGTATCATCTATCACACAGCCATACATGAACGGAAATCTTCCCGGCTGCATGTCCACTCTAAGCTAGTTTGACAGAACAACCTCTGGCAGTGCGTGAGATTTATATCTTCATTTGCTCCCATTGCCTGGAGGTGCTTGAAAGAGAACCATTACAAGCCCAGGGTAGAGACGATGACAGTGGCTATGCATCAGTGTACAGGGAAATAGATCGGCAAGGTGGATTCAAGGATGAGGTGGGAAAGTCAATGTGAGACATGAAAGGGGATTTTATGCAGCCCTCCCAACTCCTAACTAAGATGTCAAAGTATAATTATGGAATATATCTAACGGAACTCAGTCATAGGGATATGAACAGATGCTACTGCACAAATAAATGGTGCAGAGAATACATAATCATCTGAAGGCCTTCCAGGGCTCGAAATACTGGGTGCATGTGCACCTTTGTGCACCCAAATTTGGAGCTGTGCACCCAATTTTTTTCTGTGGGTGCACCAGTGCACCCAGGTATTTTTGTAGGTTTACGTATGTTAAGATGTTAAATGTATAGTATACAGTAGTATACAGCATATTCTATACCTCTAAGTGCCAGAAAAATATTAAAATTATTGTTGTAGTACTTTTCTTAATTTAAGAAATGAAACATAATTAATTATTGCTGACGTTCTACTTATTTTATCTTATATGGTTCAACCCAAAAATTTTTGTGCACCCAATTTTTTTAGGTTGGGTGCACCAGTGCACCTATTCCCAAAAATGAATTTTGAGCTCTGCCTTCATTTGTATGCATTGGAGATGACAAAAAAATGCATGATCATAATTATTCCATGCAGATCCTACTGTTGAGAGTACACGTGAATGATTACATGTGCTTTAGACACACATACATCAGTCTGGTGATTATGCCAGTGTGACTAACAGCTAAGACAAGTCCATTACACCACATACGCCCATAGCTGACGGCATGTACATTTAGATAGGAGAGACGTGTGTGACTGCTGTATAAAATACTATAATCCATCTTTGATGTATTACTGTTAGTCCATGATTTAGACAGTATACCAGGACAGACTACAGATTATCCAAAACCGAGCCGCAAGGTTAGCTGCAAATGAATCCCAGTCAACGAGTTCAGAAGTATTACATGTAAAACTGAACTGGCCATCAGTAAAAGAAAGGATGTATGCAACTACAATAGGCGCTTTCCATAAGTTGGTAACAACAAAAAAACCTGAAAGTATATATGATAAATTAAGTATGGTACACAATACACATCAACACAATACAAGACTATCTCAGAGAGGAGGTTTTGCACAACCTATACCCAAATCAAAAGCTTTGACCAGAACGTTCCAATACAGATGTATCAAGGCCTACAACATGCTTCCCACCCACATAACAACATCAAATCCAACTACATTTAAGACCAGGATAAGAGAATGGGTTAAAGCACAGAAGGACAACAATCAACCGCTCGCCTCATGGTGGTAAACCTTGTACATTCATTTTGTAAGTCGATTAGTCAACTGCACAATCAAATTCATAGGAATGTGATCAGGATTATGTTTTAATTCATTATTTGTCAGTGTATTTTGAGTTACCACTATAATTTATTCTGACCTCCGACCTCTCCCTTTCTGGTTTGAGTTGCATTATCATTTTGTTTAATCAAGAGATTTTGTTGTTAATTTGCTTCATAGTTGACTACATTAACTGATTATTAATTTGATTTTGAACTTAAGTTACCTTATGTTACTTAATTATGTTACTTTTATAATGTCAATGATCACTCTGATTCGAACTCAGTTTATGTTACTTAATTATGTTGATTAT